ACGCAGTTTGCGCTGAGGGCGCCGCCTTGCGCCGGTTGCGCAGCCGGGCAGGGAGATGGGTTGGTTTGCTTTGAGCTACAGAAGCGCTGAAAAGGAGCTTTCCACCCAGAAAAGCAGGGCTCTTTCCCCCCACCCCAGCTAGTAAACCATACTCCTACCCACTGCCTATAGCTACGTGCATGGATGTAGATAGCTACAGCTGTACATACAGTCATACACTAATTACATTCTTTATATTAAATATCATTGTTTGCATTATACTAGCGCATAATTTTTATGCTATACTGAAAGTGGAGTTTGCCAGTGTAGACAGCTTTGTGGGGGCACACCAGGGCTGCTGGGGTTTTGGCTAATGCCCTAAGTACAGTCGTCCAGGTCCCAATGCCTGACCACACACCTGATTACCCAAAGGCCAGGAGGCACAAAACCAGCCCAGGAGAAACCCCAGAGCCAGGATCAGCAGTGACACCCATCAAACCCATGCACACACACATGCAGCCTTCAAGACCGTGTTGCAGCCCTTGGGAAACCTCACCAGAAGCTCTTTACTCCCCTTAGCCTTACTGCTTTCCCTCTGCAAGGCGCCTGCCTGGCTGTGAGCATCCCTGCTGGGCTAAGGGCTCCTGTTCCCCACCAGCCCTTGAACCAGAGGGTGTCCCCTAGCATGGCTATGCTCAGGCACCTCTGCCACACCCAGCCCTCGCCAGGCAGCACCTGGCTTTGAGCATCCTCATGCCCCATGGTACTCCTTGGCATCCTCCCACAGCATTTCCTGCCCACCTTCAGCTCCCTCCCAGGGGCATGAACGGGGATGGCACTATATGTTAATTTTGTTCCGTTTCCCATGTTCTCCAGCTCACATCCTACCCCCTATCCCACCTGTCCTCTCCCTCTCCCCTGCAGCCCTATGTGCTTGCTGCCTCTTGTCCCCACACATTTTATTGGTGCTTCCCACCACTGCCCAGCCCCTTGGCACACATTGGTCCCACTGAACGTACTGGCATGACACCTGAATCTTGGATGTCAGGGCCATGCAGGGCATCTCCTTCAATGCTGCAATTTCAATTAAAGGGAGCATGGCAGATTTCTCCTTACTATGATTATTGGTATGCTTTGCCTCCCCCTGGTGCCCCAAGCACTGAGCTGTGCCATCATGCTGTCTTAGGCAGCAGCTGTAGTCCTGGAAGAAGGTGCAGGACGTTCAAGGGACCTGTCTCCACAGACCCCATGAGTGGAGCAGCCCAACCAAGCCCCAATCCCACATGCCCCCTGCATCTTTCCAGCAGGGTGTTCTGGGCAAGGATTTCACACAGAAAACACTGGTTTTTCAGCTGGCTCCAATTTTGCTCTCCTTGAGCAACCAAAGGGGAGAGCCCTTGGAGGGTCCCCCACAGAAGGTTTCTCCCTGCAGTGCCACACTCACCCGAGGAACTCTTTTCATGGGACACAGGAAACCAAAACCATAGTGAGATGCTTAAATGAACCTGGATGATTCATGGAGAACAGGTCCATCTGCTGGCTAATGAACAGCACAGGTGGCTGTAACTGGCAACTCAACTGGCAGAGCTCCTTTCACCTTACAGCCTTTGCCCAAGCACTTGCCAAAGTCCCTGCATTGGGTAAGATGGACTGTCCCTCCTCAAGGAGCAGGAAACTATTGTTCTCACACAGCCTCAGCAGCTCAGGGAGCTTCATGACCATCATGTTGGGGCACAGCATTCACACTGCCATCCTCTGCCCAGCAAAGCAGGACACAACCATCCTTCACCACCTAATCAAGCTGCTGTCAGGCAGAGATGGTCTCTGCACACATGCTGGCCAGACACTGACTTGAAAGGACTCAAGGGCATTGCATTCTGCAGACTCACAAGGTATACAGGTGGAGCAAGACCACAGCAGGCAAGTGGACAAGCGACACCAGTTCCTCCCTTCTCATACAACTGAGACCAGTACCAAGGAAAGGCCCAGCACCCATTTGCCACTTGTCAACGCTCCCTGGACAAAAGCTGAACAGGCCCCAGTTTGGATATGATGCATCCATCAGACCAGGAAATGTCCTGTGAACAGAGGGGAGTAGGGAAGGGGGAAGATGACAGTTTTCTGGCATCCCATTTAATTTATTCCACCTTTATGCAGCTCAGCTTTTCCAAAAGAGAAAAAGAAAAACACAAAAGAAAATTTCTTGATTCCTAAACAAAACAAAAAGTACAAACTGCAGATGAGAGCCAGCGTGTGCAAGGTTTACATGAAAAAGCAAAACACCCTCAGATGTTAACAGAAAACAGGTAGCATCATTTTTACAGTTACTTGGTTTTACATGCAGGTGTGTTTTCTTTCTCGTACCCTCTTGCTCCCTCCCATACACATCCACATGCACACACCCTGACTTGCCAAACGGGGTCCTTTCCCTGCCTCCTCCACTGCCACATCCAAACCCCTCCAAAGTCATGAGGAGCTTCATCTGCAGAGACCACCTGTGCCTTTTGTACTTGGGATGTGAAACACGAGAGCAGAAGCAGGAGGGAAAAAAGGCAAATAAGCCCAGCGCTTCCCTTCCTCCAGAGACCATTGGGCTTTTTATTTTTCCTTCCCCAGCTCAAAGTCCCCAGGTGGTGTTTCTCCAGCAACATTTGGTGTTTTTGAGGTGTGCTGCAGTCACCAGGGGCTGGTCCCACCCCTGCAGGTGATGGTCACCATCGGGTAACTCTGCTACGTGGCCCCCACCATGCAGGCACAGGGTGCTCCCAGCCAGTACTCACCAAGGAAACTCCCTCCTCCATGCTGTTCAACCTAACATTTAAGGAGATCTGGGATCTGGAGACCGTTCACTACTCAGAAGCATTTGTAAGAAACCAGGAGATGCTTTATTTCCTTCCACTCCACCTTGATTGCATTTAAGGAAAGCCTGAGACTTTTACTGTAAGGAGAGGATTTTTGCAAGTGCTCTGCAAATGGTATCCATATTAAAAAGGAAGTGTAAAAAAAGAAAAAAAAAAGTGGGGGGGAATCTCCTTGCTTAGGCAACGGGGAAGTTATTTATTCTCAGCATTGGCATGTTCTGTAGAGGAAGAAAACAGGTGAAGCAACAGCAGAGACACATCTCTCCTCAGAGTAACACGTCGGAGTACTTGGAATTGCTTTGACTTAATCTATACAAATGTGTGTGTGGGTAGAGGGGTGCATGTGTGTCAGGGCCTTTACAAAGCAAGATATATACTGTAATTTACTTACAAAAAAAAAACAAAACAAAAGTGTGTGCTGAATAGCAGATGCTCACTCCCGTCCCAAGCAAAAATGGAGGGACAAGGGCAGCTGCCTGGGAGTGCAGGTTTTAGATGGGGTTTTTCCTATCTAGAAACAAAGAAAGAATGAATGACAGAGAGATACACTCCTTGGCTTGTTATCCTAAATCTACACAGGCATCCTTCCACCCAGCCCCAGCAAGTTCACTTTAGCTCCCTCAGCATAAGCTGATCCTAAGAAATACTGGGCAAGAGCCCTTCAAATCCCCTGGAAAACCAAGCATTTAGCTTCGCCCCAACGGCCCCATCCTCCCGGACCAGCATGTGGAGCTGAGTCCCCGTGGGGCTGGATGTGCCCCAGCACCAGGAAAGGAAGCACCCAGGGGTGTTTGGGGGTGGGGTGGGTGGTGAAGGAGCCGTCTCATCCTTAGCCCTTTCCCTCACTGATGCCTCCTTGGGGGACGCATCCTGACCACGCCTGCATATTCTAGGTTGGAAGCCGGGGGCTTTCCTCCTTCCCTCCCTCCCACACCGCATCCCACGCCAGGACCGATGGCCGGGCTGAGGCGCAGGGGACCGGCAGGACACAGGAGGCAGGCGACACAGTATTTACAGTCTTTGGTCTTGGGGATGGGAGGAAAAGAGGGGGAAAGGGTGGGCTTTTTCTTTTT